CTCCTGCCTCCAGCCCGCCTCTTCCTCCCAAAGCTTCCCCCTCCGTTTCCCTCCTCCAATCCTTTTTCCTTGCGCCAAGCTCCTGCCTGACTGCCTGACGCACCCCCAAGCGCGTCGGTAGGGCGGGCCGGGCGTTTCGCCTGAGACTTCCTCATCATTTGTTATCCTGGAGCTTGGAATGTGCAGCAATGTCACGCATGGGGGGCGGGTGGATTTCAAACGGTGGCTCTCGCATCAGCGCCGCGCACATTAGTTTTAACCGTTTGCAGCAAATTTTCAGAATTTGGGGAGGGTCGTTTTCGAAATGTGGCTCTCGCTTCAGCGCCGCGAACAGTTGTCTCCAAAGGTCGTTTTCGAAATATGGCTCTCGCCTCAACGCCACGCACGCTCGCCTGAAAAGGTTGCAGCAGCTTCAAGGATGAAGAGCGGATGGTTTTCAAACTGTGGCTCTCGCTTGAGCGCCGCGCACACTCGTCTTGAACATTCGCAACAGCGTCAACAATCGAAAGCGGGCTATTTTGAACGTGTGGCTCTCGCCCTCGCGCCGCGCGCACTCGTTTGAAAAGCCTGCAGCGACTTCGGCGACGGAATGAGGGTGGTTTTTAAACGGTGGTTCTCGCTTGAACGCCTCGTAAATTCTTCTTCGGCGGTTTGCAACATAACAGTGAGGTCGGGTGTTTTCAAAATGTGGCTCTGGTTTTAGCGGGGCGCAAAATCTTTTTCAACATTTGCAACAGCTTCAAAGATGGAGGGCGATTCCTTTTCAAACTGTGGTTGCCGATTGAGCGCCATGAACACTCGCCTTGAAAGCTTGCAACAATTTCAAAAACTTGTATGGCTGACATAACAGGAATGGTGCTCCGGCACGACTCCGGACTGTCAGGACGCATTTGTCACGTTCATTCGCGGTGTTGCTATCCCAGGAAGGATTGTCTGGCACGGTTGAGGCATGTCAGGACGTAGCAGTTACGTTGAATTCTAGCGCCGAACTCCCAGGAATTGTGTTTGGCCCGATCGAGAATTCACAGACGATTGTCTTCACATGGCCCCCCCCCCGCAATGAAGATACATTCTTGTAGGGACCTGTGAAGAAGGAACTTGGAGGGAGGCTTATTGCAACATCGTTGACGCGTCTTGGGCTTACACTTGTCCTTCCCGCTGCGGCGACCTGGTGTCTGCGTGCGTTGGTCGGCGGGCTGGCGAGCGCTGACAATAACAGAACGTGTTATAATATGGGCTTCGTGGCTCTGCCAGGGACTCCGCCCGGGCCGAGGGGCGCCTCCTCCTCCCACCTCCTCGCTCCTCCGCTTCCTCCTTCGCCAGGCCAGCCTCCAGCGCTGGTTGCTGGAGGCGGAGGCGCAGAGCTCCGATGGGCCAGGACCCGGAGGACGAGGAGGAAGGTGACGCTGTCTCGCTTCTGCCTGGCCAGGCTTCGGCCTTGAAGTGTCCTGCCGTCTTCTCATCTTGGCTTCATCCTCCTCGTCCTGCTTCCTCCACCTGTCTCCGTCGCTGTAGGCCTCGGAGGTCGATTCGAGCGCGGCCATCCCCCCCGGGGTTGGTTGATCAAGCTAAGCTAGCTGTAAAGGGTCACATGGAGATCACGACGCGCGGAGGAGGGAAGGGGGGGGGGAGAAGGAGGAAGGAGACACTCGGGATGAGGAGGGAAGGAATGGGCGGAGGCAGCGGCGCTGCGGTGCGGCCAAAAAGCGAGGTGCTCCTCCACCTCCTCCGCCTCCGTAGGGAAACAGGACACGGCATACACATTACCTCTCTCTCAAGTTCGCGCAGGTTTCTTGGGTCGGCGCTGGACCCCCCGCCCTGGCGCGCGGAGCGCCGCCAAGGGGGCCGGGCGCAGATGTGAGAAATCCGCGCGGAGAACCAGACGACATTAGACACGTGCCGTGTTTTGCTTCTCGTCGCGGGCCAGGGGCCGCCCTGGGCCCTGGGAGGGTGTTACCCAGGCATCCGACGTCCTGCCGCCTGCCTCCTCCTTCCCTGCCTCCTGCCTCCTGCCTCCTGCCCACTGCCTCCTTCGCCTCCCGCCTCCTCCTTCCCGCTCCCCCTCGCGCGATGCCCCCTGCCTGCGCTGCGCGGCACGCGCGGCAGGTCCTGAACACCCACCGCCGCGTCCCTCTGGCGCTGCAGCAAGGCTACCTTGCCCCAAAACGAGGCTGGCTGAAGGCGAGGGGGAGTGGAAGGAGAACGCTGAGCGCTGGAAACGTGCGTGCGATGCGGCGCCGCCAACCTGCACATTCCACGCTATCCCCCACATTGGGGATAATGTGCGCCGAAGAGGCCCTGGCACGGGGATAGCGTGCACGAGGATAGCGTGCTTTCGGGGATCGATGCCGCACGCTGTCTTTCCAACGCCAAGAGTAGGAAGACGAGTGGGAGTGAGAGCAGGACGAGGAGCGCTCGTCGGCTGGGGTGCGGCGACAATACGGATGACCAACTCATGTATGCGACGTTCGGCCAACAACAATAACAACAATTATTGTAAGAGTGTTCGCGTCGGGACGCTCGAGTGTAATCCAACATGCTTTCCCCAAAACCTCGATACCCGCCCTCTTCGTCTTTGATCGTACCCCCTTTGGGGGGTATTTCTTCCTCTCCTGCCACGTGTAGTTGGCACAGCGCTTCTGACAGGACGAGTCGAGGAGGAAGGGAGTGGAGGACTGGAGGGATGAGGACATGGGGCAAGAGGGAGGGAGAAGATGAAGACGAGGGGGATTCGCAAGAGGAATTAGCAAGAGGATATCGCAAGGACGCCTCAGGCGAGAGCGCGGTTCCTGAGCACATTGTCAAGAAGTCTCCAGCAAGAGCGCGACTCCAGAGCGCCGAGGAAGCGTTCTAATAATTCATTGCAAGAAAATCTCAGGCGGGCGCGATTCCTGGGTAGATTGCCAGGAGGCCCAATGCGAAAACCAGACTTCCCCATACATTCTCAGGAGTATCAGGCGGGAGCCGCTTTTGTGGTAAACCGTGGGCCTAAGACATAGTCTGATGCGCAATCTTTTCCTTTGTAGAAAAACAGCGTGCGAGCCCCAGAAAAGTGGCAGTCCCACCAGCCCTCTGGGCGTCGGTGGTTTAGAGCGTTTCCTCTTCCACCCCTCCTTCTTCCCCTTCGGGGAGGGGTTTACCCCTCCCCCTACCCCCTCCCCACTGACCTGGACAGGGGGTTCCGCGGCGCGTTGGAGCGCCCAAGATCGACCCCTGGGAGGGCTAAAATTCGACACCCCTCACGAGGATCGTGGCTCCTGAGGGGGGGGGGCTGTAATTAGGGACCCCCCCTTCGTTGATCGATCTCCTCCAAGATGGCTCCGAGGCCCCCCAAGAGGCCCCCAGGAGGCCCCCAAGAGACCCCCAAGAGGCCCCAAGAGACCCCCCAGAGGCACCCAAGAAGCGCCCAGGAGGCCCCAAGAAGCGCCCAGGAGGCCCCCAAAGGCCCCAAGATGGCCCCAAGAGGCCCCAAGAGGCCCCCAGGAGGCCCCAAAGAGGATCCCGAACGGCCCACAGAGGCCCCCCCGAGGTACCCAAGACGCCGAAAAGCCCCTCAGGACGACCCTCTACTCGCCTGGGCGTCGTTTCTGGACGGGCTGGTGGGGATACGCGAAGCGTCTAGAATTCAATTGAACACACACTGGGCACCAGATGGAGGGGATCAACACGAATAACTTCTTAGAATGGAAACCTCGATCAAGTTAAAACTGGGCGCTCGCATCTGCTCGCGTGCAACTCGCGTAAAACACATGTGTATATATATATATATATATATATATTTATATATAGATATCCAAAAATATCGATGCCATCCCTCTTCGTGTTTGATCGTGCCTCCCGGGGGGGGTGAATACCCCTTGCACGATCTCCTGGCCGACTATCTTCCACAGGTCCTTATGCGTCTTCGGTGCCTTGCCCGCTTTCGCCTTGGCCACGCCTTGCACCGCGTGACTGAAGCCTGCGATGTACCAAATCCGCTGGTAGCCCTTCGGATTGACTGGGCTCGCCGCCATTGGCGCTCTGCCTCGGACCTGCGAGCCCATCCCTTCCACCGGCCGCGGACGTGGGCCCCGCGCCCTCGGTCTCCAGCGCGATCCAGCCCCATGCGATGCGACGTAGCCGTTAATTCCTGCGCGCGCTTACCTCCTGGCGCAGCGCCCGCAGCAGGCAGCGGCATCTATGTCCATGTCGCCGAACTTGACGAACTGCACCCGCAATTCTTCTCAAGGTTCAGACGGCGGCGATGCCTGCGCCCGGCTTCTCGGTGACATGCCGCGTCGCCGCAGGCAAGGTTGGGCACCCACCTCTTCAAGCGCCCTCTCGACCATGCCAGTGGACTTCTCGTGCTCCCCGATGATGTCGTTCCACTTGCACTCCCGCGCCAGTGCGCCCACGTCTCCTCTCCTTCGCCGCGCCTCGGGCACATGACGTCTTCGATCTCGGTGCCCAGGTCCGCGACCTGCATCCCCGGCCGCGCACCTGCAGTCTCGTGCATGCCCTTGCTCTCGAGCTTGCGCAGCGCCGTTCTCGCCGACTGCAGGCCCGCCCCGCGTTCCAGTCCTGCGCCCGCGTAGATCTTCGCTGCGGTCCCCAGCTGCTTGCGTTCGATGGCGTTGCCCATCGTGGTCATTAGGTCGCTCGCGTCCACCGCGTCGTCTAGCGAGGTCGCGCCCTCGCTTCCAAAGATCTCGCAATCGTCCGTCCCCCAGTCTCACGGCCCTCTGGGCTCCCGCTCCAGGTCGAGCAGAGAGCGCGCCATCGCCCTCTCGACGCCCGCGGCGCCTCCCCTCCTGTCCTTCGCTTCCAACATGCCCGCTGCCGCCGCGACCCATGGCCGAATGAACTTGGCATTATTCCTTCGATTCTCCTCGCTGATGGTGCTCGCCCACGAGTCCAGCAGCGCGAGCGCCGCTCCGTGTCCAGGGCCCCCCTACCCAGCTGCAGAAGCGCGAGCGCGGTGAGGCGCCGCCCCCGAAGCATCGGCGCGATGACGCCCGCCAGCCTGCGCCTCCACTTTAAGCGTCACCGAGGACGTCATTCCGAGCACCTCGCGCGAGTAGGCCGCTCGCGGAAACGCCCCGCACTGCGCCGCGGCGCGCGCCCCCTTGCTGCTCTGCGGCCGCTCCCTAGCATCTTGGTGGCCCTCTCATCTTGGCGGTCAGCGCGGGCCGCCCTCCTGGCGCGCTTGCCTTTTCCCGCTGCCGACGTTGTCCCTATTGGCCCCGAGGTCTGTCGCCTGCTCCTTCAGCTTCACCGCGATGTTGCGACTGCGCCTCTTGAGCGCAATCTCCCGCGAAACCTCCGTACCGTTGCCGATGACTGCCGACTCGGTGGACAGGACCAGCTGCGCATTCTTGGCGCCTGCCGCGAAGTCCACCCAAGCACCTGTCAACTGCTTGATCACCGCCGCCTTTTTTCCTCGCAGTGACGTCGCCCATCCACGCGCGCGCGCGCCTGCTTGGACTTGCTGCGCGCCCTCCCTAGCACCGCGTGCAACGCAGCCCTCCCGAAGGCGGTCTCTCCTACGCGCTCCTGCGCTGATCGACCTGTCGGGCGTCGCCGGTTCCGCGCACGCCGCCCTCTCCACTGCGAGCCTCGCACCCAAGTGGCTCAGCACCTCCACGTGATGCGCATGCGCTGGCAGCCCCGACCGTGGCCCCTCGTCCAAGATGAGGAGAAGCTCCAGCGCGTCGTCGAATAAATCTTCTGCGGGCCCACTCGATGACCTCGTCGGCCTGGCGCGGCGGGCTGAACTGCGAGGCAATGAGCTACCGCGGCCACGCCTCGCTGTGCTCGATGTCCTCGATGGCCCGACGCAGCGCGGCCCGCGCGCTTGTCGTCGTTCATGTGAAAGCCAGGGCCCCTACCTGCTCGACGTCCCTGGTCTTGCTTTTTCCCATGTCGGCGATCGCCCTGTCAATCGACTTCGCATAGCTGGGGGCCCAGTCCTCCTCAGCTGCCACCTGCCTCGCGTTCTCCGGCGCCTCGAAGAGCCCCCTCCAGGGCGCGCGACTGACGCGCTTCCTGCGACGCAGCTCGCCCCTGGCGCCCACCCACTTGACCGCGTTGCTCGCAGCCGCGCTGTGCTCGTGGATCTCGCTGTCGCGCCTCGGCTTGTCCGTGGTCTTGCGCCCGTCGCCCCCTGCTCCCGCGCCCAGCTGGCGCGCGCCATCGTCGCCCCCGTCACCTCGAGCCTCTTCCGTTGCCTCGCCGTGGCGAGCGCCGCCGCCCCGAGGCTCTGCAACTGCTCGCGGTTCATGTTCGCCACCTCGCTGGGCGCTGACCTCCACCTCCGCTCTTGCTTCTGCCGCGTCTGGGCGGCGCCGCCGCTGGGCATGGTCGCCGCAGGCCCCCCGCGTAACTCCTTGAGCCTCGGCTCTGGCCCCCAGCCCTTGCGCCGCTGTGTCTCCGCCAACCACGACGCTAGCGCGCCCCGCCGTCGAATGGAGTGACCCCTGTCGGCCTCCACGTCGATGCCCAGCTCGATCGCGCCCATGCTGAAGTTGAGCTCCTCGCCTCTGCCGCAATGGCCCCCCCCCGCTGACGGCTTGATTTTGCAGGCTGCGACGTAGAACTGCTCCACCGCGTGGTCGAACTGGTCGGCCGCTGTCGCCTTGGCGCAGTCAGGCGGCGCGACCTCCGCGCCCCCCTGTTCTGCTTCTTCCCGTCATCGTATTTGACCTGCCACGTGGAGTCGCGCTCCTCTGCTGCGGTCTCGAAGGCCTCGTCGGTTCCCTTCTCGTTCGCTGCGTGACCCTGACGTCGGCCTCCTCCTCGCGCGGCCCACCCTCGTCCTCGCTGGACTCGAAATCGCCGAACAAGTCATCCTCCCCGGCGCGCCTGCGGCGTCCCTTCAGGAGCTCCCGGCACAACGCCTTCCGCTCGTTTGGTCTTGGGCGGGAGGGCCGAGGGTGGCCCGCATGTGCGCCTTCCTCGTCGGTCGATGGTACTTCCTTGCTCTGCGACTGGGTCTCGGCCTTCTTCCTGGGCCGCCTGCCGTTCGGGGCCGACCTGCGCTCCGAAGAGCTCGGCTATGGGGGCGGCTTCGGCAAGAGCGGCGACCTCTGCACTGCCGCCTCCGCGACGCTCTCGAGGTGCAGCCGGACTCCGCAAGTCCCCCCTGGGTCTATCAGGCCCACGCCCACACAGTCGAGCATGGGCTGGGAAGGATTGGGAGCACGCAGAGTAGTCTCACATCCTGGCGGGGTACATCGTGCACGTGTGCGGCGCGTCCTCCGGCGTGCGCGCGGCCGCCTGTAGGGCCGCGGGCCATCCTGATGCTTTGAGTTCGCTCGGCTCCCCGCTCCAATCGCCAATCGCTGCCCGTGGCCCGCTGTGGCCAGGCACCAGCGAAGCAATCCTCGCCATCTTCTGGTGGTTCTCGACTCACGCCTCTGGGCGACGTCGCGCGCTGGCGGAGATCATGGCCGCCTGCCCTCTCGGCCGCCAGTTGAGCACCACAGAGTCCTTTAAATTGATGGAGGCCGCCCGCCACTCCGCGTCGATCTGCCCCAGGCCCACTGATACTTCATCCGCCTAGGGTCCCCGGGTTGAGGTTCTGTATGAAGATGGTGTGATTACCGTTGTGACTGCTTGCCTTGCTGCGTGCCAGCCGCTGCGCCGCGCGCTCTCGCATCCTTGACCGCGCGTGCCGCGGCGGCCCCCCCCTCGCGGCCGCGTCCTCCGCCTCGCATGCTGCCGCCGCTGATGCCGCGGGGCTTCCCCCGCCGGCCGCCGACGCCGCCCCCCGCTCCATCGCCCCTAGGAACTAGTGCGTCTCCCCCTCGTGGCTGACGCGGTCTGATTTCTCCTCCTCTGGCCGCGGCTTCAACCCCGGTTTCGACCCACTGCTTCTTCTGCATTCGCAACTCGTCTACCCAATCCAGCTGGGCATGCTTCTATGCCTTGAGCTTTTCGACCCCCGTCGCGAAGGCCTGCTGGGCTGCTGCCCATGCTTCCGCGACGAACTCCGCCATCCCCGGTTCCAGCTCCTGGGCGCCTGCCGGGCTGGTGCACTCGCTGTCCTCGAGGCTGAAGAGCTCGCCGCTGTCTACCTCCAACTCCGCGTCGCCGAACAGGGCCCCGACGGGCTTCAGCGGTCGCTCGTGTTCGCCCTCCGGCTGCCGAGGGCTGAGTGGATGCTGCCGTAGCTCTGCCTTAACTCGATCTTCTGCGCTTGCTACTTCTATGGGCCGCTCCGCGTCGTCCTTCTCGGCATGGCCCAGTTCTGCTCGCAAGCTTTCTCTACGTCGATGTGCTCTCAGCTGAGCGCCGCGCGCGCGCTGCACCGCGCGCTCGGCCGGGCGAAACTAGGCGCGAGATCCTGGCGATGGCTGCCGTTGACCTCTGCCTCCGCCAGGCATGGGGGCCGCGTTGTTGAGGAGCTCCTCTATCGTATTCCTGTTTTCTCCTCCTGTTTGCTTCGCGGCCATCGTGGGCGACCGGATCGGGGCGAGCTGACGCTGGCCCCCGCGTCCGAGGTCGGCATTGGTGAGCCTGCGAGCCTTGGCCAGTCGCCCAATGCCACTGGCGGCTCCGCCCCCCGCCAAGCGCCTCCGCAGGAGCAGTGAAACCGCGCCCCGACAGCCTGTGGCGCCGATGCCACCGGCCGCGCTCGGAGAACTCGCAGCGCGCCTTCGCGCTGCCCTGGTTGCTGCTTCTGCCGCTGCGCCCGCCCCTCCGGCTGAGCGAACGAGAGCGCCTCGGGCTGTCGAAGTCCCGCGATTGGCTCTGGACCCGCGGTTGCCTCCGCCATCCGCAGTGCCCATCGCCGCCGCCAGCGGTAGGGGGAGACATCGCAGCGCTGACATGAAGTGTGAGAAACTCACTGAAAGCTGGGGGGGGGATGGGAAAGTTTGGCCCTCGGTGTCAGAGCGCCCCTGCCGCTCTGCGCGCCCAGGGGCCTTGCGGTCTCTGGAAACCGCATCGGCCTGGGGCCCGCGGGGGCACGGGCGACGGCGACGACGGCAAGGCGCAGGTTTGCCGCCTCCGGCGCCGCGAACTCCCGGCCCACCAGGCGGGTGTCCAGGATTGTGCGCAGACGGGCAGTGCCATCAGACATGGCAGCATAGAACAGGCCCAGCGTCGACGGCTGTTCCGCCTCGAATCCAATGGCGCCTGCGCCCGGCAATCCTAGCAGGAATCGAGCGCAGGCTTCTGGGCCCTCCTGAGGGCGTCGTCAAGATGAGGGCGAATGACAACGCGCGCTTCGCGGGATCGCGCGCCCGGGCCAGGCGGGCAACGCCCTTCGAGACAGCGCCCGCGTCGCACTTGCGGTCGTCGCTCGGGAGGGCAACCTTATCAGGGATGAAATCTGCCACTATCGCAGGGCGCATGTCGTTGCCTGGCTCGGTGCCGCGCAGCTCCCACGGAGCTGCCGCGGGCGGCCCCAAGTGGCGCATGTCGGCGCGGATGTGCTCGAGGCCTGCGCATTGCGCGGCGCTGTAGTTCGACGGATTCCGAGCGACGGGGCGCGCCCACTGGTTGTAACTAGTCCAAGCGGCGCGCGGCAGATCGGCGGCGCCGCGCGCGGGAATCCTCGCTGCCGCGGGGGGGCGGCGCAAGCGAGGCAACGGCTCCCGCGGGGCCTCCATGCCGACCACCGAGCGGCGGTCACTCGCCACCGTCTGCCGCCGCCCGTCTTCGCGACATCCCCGAGCTTCTTGAGCTCGGCCGCCTGGGCGTCGACCATGGACTGCAGCTCGGCCGCCCCGGCATTCGCCCCCCCGCCTCTGCCTCCGACAGCGCCAGTGCCGGTCTGCAGACTGGGGCGCGCAGTGGCTCGTTCCTCCCTCGGTTTTCGACGCCCCTTCATGATGATGCTCTCGTTGTGGAGCTTCTCCGAGATGAAGGCAGACAGCGCTGGGCAGGTGCGCAGCTGGCCTCGCGTCTCCGAGGCCCACGCGTAAATGCGCCCGTCCTCCGCCAGCTCACCCCTGGGCCCCAGCCGAAAGAGGCCGCGGTCTCGATGACGAAGCTCGGCCATTTGAAGCTTCCAGGCGATGAGCTCGAAGCTTGCGAGCACCGAAATGTGGAGCTGGTCGTGCTGGGGCCCGACCTGCAGCAAGTGACCGCAGAACTCGTGGTCGGACACGGCCTGGTCGGCCAACCCCAAGTTCATCTCCGCCTTCAACTTTGCGTGCCGGGACCGGGGGGCCACGTCCTGCTCCGCGATATTGTGGGCGACCCAGAAGCAGGTGCGCGGGCCCGTCGCGGGCCGGCGATCCCAGCTGGTCTCAGAGAGCTCCTGCGCGCCACCACGCCAACCATGGTGCCGACCCGAGGCCGCGCTCTCGCGGATGCCAAGCAGCAAGCACGCGAGCGTCCAAGTGCGAGGCCAGCTCGCCGACCTTGGCAATCGCAATGCGACCAGCTCGTCGGATCAGGGCGAGGTCCTCGGCCAAAACCCCGGCCTGAACGACTCGCGAATCCATCGGCCTCAAGCCCTTCCCGTCGGAGCTGGAGACGATCTGCCAATCCTCGCCGTCAGGGTCCGGCAGCTCGCTGTCGGGGCCCAGCACGACCTACGCAGGCGGAATCGCTTGAATACCCGAGCCCGTAGCTGGCGCCATCGGCTGCTTCCCCGTCAATCGGTGGGGCGGCTTGGCTCCAGGAGGTTCGGCCCTCTGATCCGACACGGCCTCGGGAACCGCTGCCTGCAGCACCCTGCGCGTACTCGAGGGCCTTCCGCACACTTGGGCTGTTGCTCTGCGGGGTGCGCCCCGCGTGGGCATGCGCAGGCCCGTCGACTCGAACGGGGTGAAGCTCGTCATGTCGCTCGCCACCCCTGGCCCCCTGGCTTCAGGTAGTGCGGGTACAAGTCGCCATCAGGGGTGTACGCCCACCACAAGGGCCATTTGTTCGCCGCCGACTGCGGGACGTCCTGGCCCATGATCTCCACGAAGGCGCCTGAGGAAGCGGGCATCAGCAGGATCCGCGTTCCCCTCCCGCAGCACCTCGACGCTCTGTCCCGCGGTAGAGGCGTTCGCCATGGCACCGACCGAGAAGGTAACCGAACAATATCATGGTACCTGCTACCACGAACACAAGAGCCCTCCAGTTCGGAAAGGTATGTAATGGCCGAGGAAGACGCACGTGCCCGCGTCCTGCGCGAGCCCCCCACGAAGGGCAGAGTGGATTCGGTGGCCACCGAAGCAAGCGCCCAGCTGCTTGCCGAGCGCTCGCCGTTCCAGGCGCCGACGACAAGTGCTGACATCGGCCGCTGTAGTAAGGACTTGAGGTGGAGTGCACATTCGAGCACAAGCAACCACACACGGGGGGGAGCTACCAACAAGTCATGATGATGATTATGATGATGGCGATGATGATTCTGATTCTGGTGAGGATGAATGTGAAACTAATGCGTATGGTGATGAGGACGATGAAGAAGCTGATGATGATGGTGGTGATGGTGATTGTGATGCTGATCGTGACAGTAGTAACAATGCTGATGTGATGAATGAGTCGTCGTCGGACGAAAGCATGGGCTGAATGCGCTGCCTCGAAATATCTGGGTGAGAGGGCGCGGTGGGTGGCGCGTGGGACCGCACAGGGGGTCCGCCACCACCAGATTCGTACACCTCCAAAGCAAAGAGGACAATAGCTACTGACGAGACAAATTGTGGCGACCCACTGGGAGAGCAGGGAACGCCGGCCCCTATTGGAAGACAGGGGAGGGCTAAAAACTCGTCAGCAGTGTACACATTCCATAATAAGCCAGTGACACAGCAACGCAGAATGCAGAATTTGCAGTGACACGCGCCTAAGCGGCTGGTCGAGCGCTGTACGGAGGGGGGCGGAAGGGGGAGACCCCAGGGGAAGGGGAACAGGCTGAAAACCGCTCATTGGATATGCAGGCTTGGGCGCGCTGCAAGAGTGGATGCGACTACAAGTCGGCACCTAGTATCGCGAGGTACCAAAGCACATGAACTCAACATGTACACTCACTGACAGCGAGAGCATGCCCCCCAAGGCGGTGCACAGAGTACGAAGAGAGAAGCAGCAAGGGGGAGAGAGGCACGAATCGCAGGCAATGCGCATGTGGGCGACCCACATCGAGGGGACCCACATCGAGGGAAGTAACACGCATGGGAGAACACACCTCCGAACAACCAAAGTCTGAATGAGGACGGAATCGTCGCGCACAGAACCAGGTTCAGGCACTGTACAGTAGCAAATGCAGGGCGCGAAGAGGCCGACGTCAGGGGAGACCGAATGGAGGCGACCTGCGACGAGACAGCAGGGACAGGCCTACAGCCAAGAAGCCGAGCCCAGACCAGTAAAGAGAAAGTGAACGAGACCCAAGACCTAAACCTTCCTGGACTTAAAAAAAACTCAGAGTAAGCGGCACATCTGCGGGCAAACCAAGAAACCCAACGGTCCGATTATCTGGGCAAGGCGTACTTAATCCAACAAGCCATTCACATGAAGACCCTGCCCTCTTTGACTAGACGACGAGAAGGATGAGGAAGATGAGGGGACATGAGGAGGCCCATGGCAAGCAGGGACGAGGAGGAGGAGGACAAGCAGAAGGACTGAGAATGGGCACGACAGAGGTGGGAGAAGGGTACGACAGCTTACCTGGGAACTGCTCCTGTGCGGGCTGATTGGGATACGCGATACGAGAAGCGTCAGGAGTTGCACATGATCCAATACTTGTGCTGATACCAGGGCGGCAGGAAAAACTGATAAACGAATACCTCGCGGTGGACGCCCTTCGGTGCACGACTCTCGTACGGAGCAAATGCCGCATCACTGCATCTAGAAGTGCCTCTCAACCTGAGACAAACTGCGCCTCAAGAGCTGCCTGTGCATGTGCGCGCCCTGGGTTTGATGGCATTGAACGCGGTGTACTTGATTGGCCCCCTTAATGTCGGGCACAGTCGACCTGCTTTGTTGCTCCCGCCCAGAACGCGTCTCAAATTGACTCGACGCTGAAAGGGAGGTGTGATTTGTAGAGGAAGTGGAAGGAGACAGAAAGTCACATCTGGGCCGCTCCCTGAATCCAAGCAGTTCCAGGGTGGCACCACTAGAAGGGTCGCCTCTGCGCCAGGATGACGGGGAGGAGCCCCCAGGACCCCCCACTCGCACAGAACCAACCAAAACGCAAAGAGAAACCCAAAGCCGCCAAATCCGATTCGATCCTCAGTCCTTCCTCTTCCGCGATCCTGTTAACTCAGGAGGTGGTGGCGACCCCCTGGATTGGAATGCAGGAATCGGGTCCTCGGGGAAGCGTGTCCTGGACCCTGGAGCCTTTTCCCGGGACCAGCTTGAAAACGGCCTGGACCCGTCAGGAGGAACCCGCCAGGCGCCGCCAGGCCCCGCCCCGCCCGCTCCCCCCCCCCACTCTGGTCGAGCCCGCCCAGCAGGGTGTGTGTGTGTGAGAGAGAGAGAGAGAGAGAGAGAGAGAGAGAGAGAGAGAGTATGTGTGTGTGTGCGTGGGCGGGAGGGCCGCGCCTTGTCAGAGGCCGTCGACACGCGCAGGGCCCAGAGGAGCTTCTCGTCGCTCTCCATGCCCTCAGCCGCGGGAGGCGCTTCGAGGAGAGACACGCGCGCCAGGCTCCCGTCGCGTCGAGGCGGGGGTGATGCCAGCGCGAGCGTTCAAGGTGGAACGCCGCCAGCAGCCTGGCTTCGGCCGAAGTCGAACGATTTGCGCTGTCGAAGAAGCGCGATCTTTCCAGGTTGCACGATCCGTGCGGCGTCGGAAACCAACGCCGACATCGTCACGACACGTGCCTGCCGTGCTGATATCCGTGCCCTTCCCACGGTGTCGCCTTTTTCGGGCTAAATGGGAGGCCATCGTCGCCAAGGCCAGAGAGCGCCCCGGGAGAGGTCCAGGGAACCGCGGCATATACATATTGTGTATATATTTATGTGTATATATATGTGTATATATATATATATATGTATGTATATATATATGTATATATATACACATATATGTATATATATATATATATATGTATATACACATATACATAATGTATCTATATATGTATGAATATAAAGCTACGTGTGTAGACTTTTGTGTCCCAAAGCGGTCCCTTCCCTCCGGCTGCTGCTTCGTTCACCTGCACACTCTTTATTCACCTGATCACTCAAGTCGGTAGGAGCGACTGGCGGTGTGTACAACGGGCAGGGATGTAATCAGCACGAGCTGATAGATCGCGCTTGCTAGGAATTCCTCGAGGAAGATCAACATTAGCAATGACCTCCCCATCACGATCACAATTGAAGAAGATGGCCCAACTTTCCAGTCAAAATCATAGTTGCCTCGACCCTCGAGAATCGTGGAGGGAGGCTTTTGGACGTTCTCGGGAAGTTCTTCTTTCCTTGAGCAGACTCCGCGAGTGCCGCAACAACATCGCGAATCAAACGGTCGCCAGGCAAATCGGGAACACCGCACAAGCCGACGTGCAATAGGCAAGCTCATGCTATGAACCATGGCCTGAACAACTGTCCGACCACGCTGGATCGTCCTGGAGAATGTCGTTCCGGATTTCGAAGCTAACATCGTGCGGATTTTTTGGCCAGAATGAAGACCATAAACAATCCGTGTGAAGTTCCCTTCGTTTCTCGCTCGCCGGCTCGGGGTTATGCGTTGTTAGAGATCCACTCGAAGAGGAGCGGAGCGGAGCGGAGCGGAGCGGAAGCGCCGGTTCCGGGCACCGGGGGTGCCCGTGCTCTTTGGGCTGGGCGCAAGAGGCCGTAGCCTCAGACCGTGTGGGTGCTGAAACTCGAAGGGGTGCGAAGGGAGGAATGGAGAGGGGAGGGGCGCGAAGGGAGGAAGGGAGCGCTGTGTGGGCCACCCCGACGGCTCTGCCGGCCATCTCTATGACCTTCGTGGTCCGGCCTGGGCCTCGGGTGGCCGGCGCGGGGACCTTCGGGGTCCGGCTCGGGCGTGCGCCTCCCGCGCACCCCGGCCTCTCGGGGAGGGCCAGGGACGCAGCGCTGGGACTCCCGGGCTTGGCTGCCGGTCGAGGCTGCCCCCGGTCGTTCTGCAGGTCCGGAGGGCTGTCTTGAAGACCAGGGCGCCGGCCCCCACCAGAAAGCCCCTCGCGGCCCGCCCAGCCTAGCTCACCTCCTCCTCCAGTGCTCCCGCCCCGCCCTCGCGGTCCGACTTCCCTCCTTCCCCTCTTCATTCCCCCGCTCCCTGGACACCCCCTCAAGTCTCGGCCTCTCGCCCATCCGTCCCCCCCCTCCTCCCCTCCTCCCCTCCTCCCTTCCCTCCGACTCTCCCTCCGATCCCCCGTTCCCCTCTCGAACTGCCCCGCAAGCCTGAGCCTGCAGGCTCGCGGAGCCCTCGTTGCCCGCTCGCTCGGAACTGGGACTTGCGCGGCGCGCATAAGGGGGCGGCGCAAGGGTGGTGACCTTCCAAGAAGGCTGGGGGCTTCTGAGAGGGAAGGGGCCTTCTTTAGAAGGGCCAGGGCCAGGAGGCTTCCAAGAGGGCCTCTTGCCAGAGTCTCTGGGCCCTTCTGAGGCCCCCGCCGTCTCAGGGCCCCCCCGCTTTCGTGGAAGGTTCCCCCCCCCCAGACATCCGATGTCGTCTTGAACTTCTCAGTGCGGGGTCCCGGGAGGTCCGACCTTTCTTTCCCCGGGGCTGTTTTTGCGTCCTCGACAGGCCCGGCGAAGGCACAAATGAGGCCGAAGACTTAGACACGTCTCCTTCTCGACTCTCCCGAGCCGTTGGAGCTCTGGGCCCCGCGCCGCCACCGTCTGCATGCAGCCGCGTGGTGCCCCGCCCCCCTTTCCCGGCCCACGCCGAGGCGAGAGGCGAGGGGGTGGGGGGGGGGTGGCTCCCGCCTGCATGGCCCGCACCAGCTCCGGCTTCAGGGGGACGAGGCTCGCCCAGTCCTCCTCGACGATCTGTCCTGAGCGTCTGCTTTTCCCGCTGTGCTCTGCGCTCGCGCGGACCCTCCCGTCGCAGAGCGACCTTGAGGGTCGCTCTGCGCTCCTGCGCCCCCCCCCATCCCCGCGCAACACTCTGCGCCGCGGGCCTCCCGTTGACGCATCGATATTCGACACTCCTGCCTCTCGACGTCGTCCGCCGCCTGCTCTCGCTGCTCCTCCTCCTCCTCTTCCTCCTCCTCCTCCCTCCTCCTCCTCCTCCTCCTCCTCCTCCCGCTCCTCCTCCTCCTCCTCCTCCTCCTCCTCCTCCTCCTCCTCCTCCTCCTCCTCCCGCTCCTGCCCCTCCCTCCTCCTGCCCCTCCCGCCTCCCTCCCTCCTCCTCTCCCTCTCCTCATCCCTCCTGCCCTCCTTCCGCACTCCTCCGTCCTGCATCATTGTCCTCCTCCCTCGCCCCTCCCTCGCAACTTGGGCCCTCCAGCAGCAACCCAGATCGGGCGGAGTCCGAGGGATGAGAATCAGCAGGGGCCGCGACATGATTCTCTTCATTGGACGCCTCGAATAAGGACAGCAAACCTGCGGACGATGTCAGACAGCAAACCCTGCCACAGACGGGCAACGACTGCTGTTGGGCAGTCGAGTCTCGTCACAAGAGGGCAACGTTCGCAGCGAAACCGACTGCGATTCTGGTGCAAAACGGGAGGCACACCCTGCTGTAGACCATCGTCCCCACTCTTTTGCCCCCATTTCGGTTCTCCTCCCCCTCTTGATCTCTGGGCAGTTCAAACCACAGGGATCCGCCACTGCGCCTGCGCGAGAGTGGGGTGTGAGACTTCTGGCTTGTTGGCTGGTGACGCTTCTACAACGTTTCGAGTGCCAGCTCACCCCCGTCGCGCAGGCACTCTCCAGAAACTGTCCCCTATAGCTCTGTCCCGGCGCACCTTCTCCCTTCCGTCGACTATGCCTTTTTGTGGCTTTCTCCCTCACCCTTGTCCTTTGTCCTCTCTCTTCTCTCCTGCCGTATCCTTCGACATCCTCCTCTTCCTTTGTCGCCGTCATCGTCGTCGTTCTTCACCCCCTTTCCTTATGTTACTGTCTCCCCTGCGCACCCCGAGGCGTGTCTATAGAGCGGGCTGGGCGTTTCGCCTGAGACTTCCTTACCATCTGATCCAGAAGCTCGAAGTGTGCAACAGCTTCGAGGATGAAGGGGATCGTTTTCAAAATATGGCTCTGGCCTTAGCACCGCGCAAATTCGCCCTGAGCGTTTGCAATAGCTAGAAGTGTTGAGGACGGCTCCTTTTCCAAACTGTGACTCTCCCTGAGCGCTGCGCACATCCGTCGTAAAACGGCCGTTGCAAAGATGGTGAGGGGCTCCGTTTCAAGATGGGGCTCTCGCCTTGGCGCAGCGAGCATTCGTGGTGAAATGCTGCGGCAACTGCACGTGTGGAGGTGGGGTCGGTCGTTTTCGCTTCGAAATGAGCGCTGGCAGAGCGCCGCGCATACTCGTCTGATAAGACATGCAGCCATGTTAGGAATGGAACGGGGGGGGCGGGGCGGGGCGTCGTTCCCGAAATGGGGCTTCCGCCCTAGCGGCGCGCAAATCCGTCTAAGGAGGGACGACGCTTGCTTTCCGCAACGACTCGCCATCGCTCGGACGTCCATTCCCCGTGCATTTTTCGATGTCGTGCGTGCATTTTTTCGCAAGGTGATCCAAGATGCTCCTAACTGGTCCTCGCCGAGGGAAAATGCACACGTCCGAACGATGCCAAGACGACGCTATCGCTCGAGACCCACCTCAACTCTGCGACCCGAAGCGCCAACATAGGCAAGCAACACTGCACGGGTCGAGGGCGGCTCTGTTTCAAACTTGAGCGCTCGCATGAGCCTGCCCCGGAGTTCATGGCGACGCACAGATGGAGGGATGCACAACAAAAACGACCCTACCCCGGGTTACAAGTGCGTGGTCTGTAAACCTCCTGGGGAACGCCCAAAAAGCCTAGAGAGCCGCCAGGACGCGGCACATCACGCAGGGTTTACCCTGTCAGCCCACACGAGTTTCAGCGCACAGCGCCTCAGGAACCAGGGCAGGGGGCGTTTTTGCGCCCCTGAATATAAACATGTGCTACAAATGCACGGAAGGCGGGGGGGGGGAGGTCGTTCTCGAAATGCAGCTCTCGCCTGAGCGCTGCGCGCAATCAGCGGCACACACATAAGATGCAGCAGTTTCGAAGATGGAGGGGGGTGGGGAGGCTCAAAATGGAGCTCTCGCCGTAGCGCCGCGTGCACTCATGGTAAACATGTTCAACAGGACTTTCGCCTTCGCGCCGCGCGCATTCGTCGCAAGTTCTTGTAACAGCGACAAGGGCGGATGAGGGGGAATCAGAATGAGGCTCTCGCCTGTATCGCGCGCTCATTCGTTTAAACGCTTGCAGCTACAACAATGGATGTCATCTCCTTTTCAAAACGGTGCTCTCGCCATCGCGTCGCGCACAGCCGTCTTGCAAATGCAAGCAGTTCACATACTTGCAGGGCGGCTCATTTTCAAAACGGTGCTATCGCGTTAGCGCCGCGCATACTCATCTTAGACATGTGCAACCGTTCCAGTCAGATCCAGCGCGGCTGCTTTTTCTAAAGGGGACTCTCGCTTGAATGTCCTTGACCTTGAAAAAGCCAGGAGCTAAACCGCATGTAGCAGCTGCACCGGTGGAGGGCGATTCCTCTCAAAAGGGGCCTCTCGTTTGAGACTTCCTCAAGCTACATGGCGTGACGTGCGAACATGTGGAAGAGCTACACGAATGTGGACACGTATGTGGGCGGTCCTTCTTCAGAACGGCGATCTCACCAGAAACCTCGCTGGACTGCGTGATCGTACCTCTTCGCATTCCCACAAGATCGCCAGACGGATGCCAGGCCCTTCCATGTCAGGACGGGGCTCTCGCCTGAGCGGCAGACCCGCAGGGTGCCAGCCTTGCCAGGGCGCGCTCGTTGCAGTACAACTTCAGGCCTGGGGGGACTTGTGGCCTATGAGGGCGGGACCGGGGACGGGAACGTGTACTGCACCATCGTTGACGCATCTTCAATTTACTCTCGTAAAGGGAAATTAGGACACACAAATAAATGCACACAAATAAAAATAGAACCCATATTTTCCTATATTTTCTGGGTTTTTGTCTTCCCCCCCAATTCCCATATTTTCCCATATTTTCCTGGGAATCGAGGATTAATTGTGTCTGTGTGTTTTTTTCCCTCCTGATCTCGTCCTTCCGACTCCTCCTCCTCCCCATCAACCGTGCTCCTGGCCAGAGTTTCGGGGCAGATCCGACCGTGGCGACGTGAAGCCGCCCCCCCCCCCCCCCTGGAGGCCCCAAGGGAGAGCAAACGAAGCGCACAGCCCTCGATCCTCGATCTTCCTCCCCCTTCTCCTCCCATCTCTGTCGGCCAATTTTGCTCTGTCGGCCAATTTTGCTTCGCCTTCAGCCGCTGCACCGCCCGCTGGGCCGCGGGCTCCCGCCTTCGACTGGAGCTCCTTTTCGATCGAACTCCTCACACGTCCCTCCTCTGTAGCCGCTGTGGCTCAAGCCACTTGCAGGAACGATTTTGCTGGAGGAAGTCCTTTACCCGAGACGTGGTGCTCGAGTTTCCCCACTTGGGGGTCCCACCCAACCTCTCAAGTGCATGCGACACCAGGCAACGATGGCGCCGTATTGCCGGTGGGCCCGATGCGAGAGTTGTCAGACGTGCCAGTGCAGTGACAAGTCGCAGGCCCAGTAAGGAACAGAACAAACAGAACCCATAAGAATCACCCCGGCAAGCGAAGCCGTTTGGTAAACTAACCCGAGCAAGGAATCGAGCAAGACAGGGCTGTTTAGTGAACGCCCAGGGCCGTTGAGTAAACGCCGATGATGGGGATCGGGATGTTTTTTCCTCCCTTGGCCCAGGGCTGTCGGTGCACCAACCGCAGGCAGAAGGTGCAACTCTGCCGTCCTCGTGCGCCCGCTGGCGAGCAGCGGGCGCGGCCCGAGGAGGCCACCATTGCCAGCCTGGAACATACCCCTATCGCTATGCTGGGCACCTCCCCATTACGATGCCAATCATAGGGATTCCCTTATTTTTTGAGGGCCAATTTCCTAAGATTGTCATCGCCTTTTGGAGTGTCAATCTTGGGGATCGGGGTACGTTCGAGGCTGGTAACACCACGGTCGGGTGCTGCTAGAAGTGCCCCTGGTCGAAGGTGCCCCCGGGATGTCCGACGCTCCCACGGCCCCAAGAGGACCTCCCACGAGGCCCAGAGGGCCGGCCCCAGAGGCTCCAAAATGGAGAGGGAAGCGTGGGACACCTGGGCCCAGGGGCACCTTTCGTCATCCTTGATAAGGAGGTCACTGCTGCAGCAGGCGTCGGGGGCGACCCAGGACGCCGACATGCGCGTGGCGCTGGCTGCGCAAGGGTCGCGCCTCGAGATCCTGGCGACGGAGGCCGAGTCAATCTCCGATGTCGAAATCGTCAAGAGAGCAGTCGGGGCGTGGCAGGCCGCGTCACGTTGTCACGAACAGCTGGTCAGTTGGGTGCCGCGGTTGAGGAAACAATCGCAGGTTGCTGAAGGCAAGGAGCAAGACGCCGCGCTCGAACTCGGTAACGCCGAGGCGGCCCAAGACTAGCGCGACTGAGGCACTCGCTTGCGCCCAAGGCGCGCCGCGGCATGTTGTCACGGTCCAGCCGACGACAAGAAGGGGCGCCAGGTCGTCATCGGCACCAACATGAGCAACGAATTCTGGGACAAGATCGAGGAGTGGGACTGAGAGAAGGTGGACAAGATCAACCTTCGCAGTCGCAAGTGGAAGTTGGCCACGTGGAAAACGTCCTTCGAAGCTAAGGGCGTGGAGCTGCAAGTCGTCCTGGCGCGCGCAGAGGCAGTGCAGCAAGGTGTCGCGGGCAAGATGGCCTGAAGCGTCGAGCCGGAGCGGGCGGTGAGATGCAGCTGCGGGCGGCGATTCAGGAGGAGGCGGCGCTGGTGCTGTAGCTGGCGAGA